AAGGCTATTGCTTAAATAGCGCTATCTACTGCGAGGATCGTGCATCATACGTATCTAATACCGCAGTGCAAAATATATGGTCTTGATATATTCATTGTATCTCATTTATTACTTTCACGGGTTTATTACGAATCAACTTAACGGCCTGCTCCCAGTTGGCTTGTTAGCTCATTTGGTAGAGCGCTGCACTAGTATCGCAGAGGTCAGTGGTTCGAGTCCCGTACAGGCCTGTTTTTTTTTCAGGTCTGATTTTTGCTATTGCTTAAATAGCGCTATCTACTGCGAGGATCGTGCATCATACGTATCAGAAATATTATCTTTATCTCAATTTAACTCTAAATTATTTCGCCGAGTATTGAATCCAGGTAATACAACGCTCTCATAGAAAATTTACCTATGCTATGAAGGCAGTGTTCGTTCCTCAGGATGCACGGTTGTGTTAGTCCTTAGTAGGGATAAATAGTTATTGCAACGAGTCACTACATAAATCAAACAAAACGTAATTTAAAAGTGCAATGTGACGACGATACCAGTCATTCAACAGTAGGCAAACTCACACAGGGAAACTTGCGTGAACCCGCCTTTAGATGAACTGGGCTTCTCGAATCTATTTTTCTTGTCCTTATCCTGACAGGGTCTTGTAAAAAAAGAAAACGGAGCTCCACAAGAGATGGCAGGATTAGCGACCCATCTTCACTACCATGAACCTTCCAACTATATTCTGGTCAGTTTTCTACGACGTGGTCTCTTTCACAAGCTTTGTAAGCCTGGGAAAAATGGTAAGGACGCCATTCCAAGCCAGAAAACATAATATTAGCGATTTTCATACTCAAATAATGTTTCGCTTACAGATCGATGAAGAAGAGAAAGACAAATATAAAGTAGTTAATTATATATTCAATCTACTTGACCAGAATTTGTGGTTACGTTGGTTGGTCGAGAGACCAATTGCAAGCAGCTGATCTTTTCTTGACAATGTATTGAGCTCGATCGTGATATCACGATCTAATCTTGTAACGTGTATCAGATTTATAGTATTTTTTGTTCCCCTTTAACAGGTGAATTTTCTCAAGAAGTCATGAGGACGATAGTGCTTGTTATAAGCCACTTGATCGGAAGAAAAGTTGTTCACCGCTCTCTGATGCGAAGAATTTCAAAGTGCTCTGCTTCAAAAGTAGGCTTACATTTGTCCAATGAGATTTTTTTCTTATCGTGCTCTCAAACTTTAGTCAGGGTGCATCTCGAAACATACTGCAATAAAGAAGGAGGTCCGTTTTTTCAGGAGCGTGAGACAAAGAAAAAAACGTTTGAGCCAGCGTTCACTTTGAAATGCTCTACGGTTAAGGTTATTTACTAGGTTGAAATCTAACAAGTGTCGTACATACTGCGAATTGATAATAATAATAATAATAAAGGTCTATATTGAGAATTATTGTGCGAACAGACGTGTAACAATTAACATGAATAGAATGAATAAGGAAAAAGAAAACGTATGATAAGAATGATAAGAATTAACAATGATTGTCCGAAGCACTGTGCGTGCTTTTAGGTAAACTAAGAAAGATGGCGAATACGAAGCTTGGTTGTTAGAAATCTATGCGTCTTGGATCTGGAAATGTCTCCAAATCTATTGTCCATCTTTGTTCACATTTCCATTTTTGTCAGAATTAATTAACGTGCCAATTAACCTCATTTTATTTCTGATTTGGCTTCATACGTTGGCCATGAGATAAACCATTTCGTAACTTAACAATTCCTTGTCGGTAACATCATGGAAACAAATCTGGATCTATTGGCATTTAAAAGAAAGCTCGGTAGTTAATTTTTCAGTGTTTTGTGATCATATTTTTTGTGGCCCATAACTTTTGCAGGTAATATTGGAGCCTCTTCCGACGGACTTTTCTGAAGCTCTGGGCGACTACAATCGTCAGGTTACAAATATTTTCAGCCAATACCTCGCCTCAGTTGCTAAGGACCTTGAAAAGGAATGCGGGGAGGATATTAAACTCCCCTTATCGGGCATAGGTAACAAAAGTGATAACAAAGCTTTTATTTAACAATTTTTTAGAGAAAACAATAAAAATCAACTTAGATCCCATGGATGTTGTGAATTGTTGTAAAGCATGACAGGTATTTTCTTATTTCAATGATGGCCGAAACAATTGCATCGCACAGTGAATGAATCTTCACTCTTTCACTGGCGTTTTAAGAAACAGTTTTATTGATGAATCACCGTAAACTATACCTGTTGCAGAATTTCCAGCAAAAGCAAGCATTGCTGAAGACCTTAACAAGTACCATGCATTGAAAAGTCTCGCAAACACTTCTATTCCGTACTCGGCCTGTTCTTCCTTCGCTGCACTGTCAGGAAATACGGACTTACAGCTACATTCCATTAACCCTGCATCAGCTGAAGCCCGGGAGTCAGAAGACGACGAGGAACAGCAAATAGATCTTTTACTCAAGGTGAATATAAGAACCACAAGTTTATCCATAAAGCATCTTTCAACGAAAAACCTAAACCAAATTAATCACTGCGACCGACAGAAAATAGGTTTACACTATCATGGGTCAATGAGAACTCATAGTGAAGACAAGCAAACTGCTTGAAGCCCAGGAAAACGTAAGTGACCATGACGCGATGTGCTTTTGGTTTTGCATTTGATTGGTTGATGGAATGGCGCAAGTTCTGTAGACCAATCGTAGAGCAAAGTTAAGTAAAACTAACGCAATCTCGGATTGCTTTCGACACAATTGAAAATTGCTCTACCATGAACTTTTGGTGACAAACAAGTGGTTGCCATTCCTATTTAGATCAGTATAGCTATTTGTGTCAGTGTTGATGGTTGTTTGCGCGTTTGAAGGAAAAACATATTTCTTTACCGGTCGCAATGATCTACAACAATTGTCTGAGGTATTTGAAGCTTGCAGTTTGTGGGCGAAGCAGTCACCAAGATCGGTGGTTATTTTGTCTTTCAGATTGTTCGTCAAGATGTCTACACAGACTTGAATGTCGTGCCTACTCTTTCAGTCAGAGGTTCTCAACACTTAAATGCGTATGCATTGGACTTTTTCAAACATGGGTCGTCTAAAGTTGTTGAGCGGGAAAATGGGTTAGTATCATATATCAGAACGACAAACAGTGCTCCCAATGGCTTTCATGTAGTCCTCAATTGCAATAATGCATGCGGATCAACATTAAAATCGTTTCAAAGAGAACGAGTCAGTGTAATAAAAAAAAAAGTCAACGTTTAATACCCAGTCTCGACAAGGTAGATTATTACTTATATCTCATTCCTACTTAATTAATTTGTTGTAATTACCTAATAGAACTGAAAATGTAACGGAAAAAGTATGTTCTGTTATATTTAGCCTCCGTTTTCTATAAAAGCGCTAGGCTTTCTGCTGAAACTTCTCAATTTTGATTTTGCTCGTTGTTTTAGTATCAAATCTGGCGAAGTTTTCACTACTCTGAAGGATTTTTATCTGACCATTAAATCAATCAGGTAAGCCCTGTTTATAAAAATCGATTGAGAATTGCTTTAAGACAATGAAAGTTATTTAGTGCGCTAGCAGACTGCTTTCCAGCCTTAAAAAAATAAAACAGTTTTCGCATTCAGTCACATCACACAACCACTTAGAGTGGAAATGCTTATCATACTGGTACCATTGTTGCTTTTTGTTCACTCAGTGATTGCACATGAATTAATATAGGGGATTATGGAGTCAGAGTTGTCGCACGATTACTGCGCTCGTGCTGCCCTATCAAAGCTGAAACAGGTTCTTTTTTTTGAGTTTTCAGGCAAGAGACCAACGCGAAGCGAGCGCGAGGCGAGAGTCTTGCGTGTGTGGTAAAGCTCGAAAAAAACCACGCTTCTCCACTCGCACTTGGCTCCGTGCGCCACACGTGGTCATTCCTTCGCGCATGTCACGTCCCTTGCACTTCCGCCCATACTGAAAAACACAGTCATTATGCCTGTTCTACAAGCTTGGTTATCAATTATTTCTACGAATAATTACGGTTTTTTTATTGGATTTTTTTGTGATGTCATGAGTAGCGTCTTTGAAAAACGGAAAAGCTATTATTAAATGTTAAGAAATTAGACACAACACACTCATTTCGTTTTGGTTTTTAATGTTCTTGTCGATCTTGTTTCCACGAATTTGGCCCTCAGTTTGTGTCAGTGCCCCGGCAACATGTCGGGGAAATAACTTATATTCTTTCTGTACTCCACAGCACTTCATTGGAAGAGATGGGTCCTGAAAACGACAATGTAGTACGGGCGTTTAAACAACTGGCCCGAGAGTACGGAGAAAAATTCAATAAACGGTTCAAGTCGGACGTATGACACAGTAAACATCTTGGAATCGTTTTTCTTGAGGGAGTTTGGAAGAGGTTCACTTGACCTTTGTTATGCTCTTTTTTACCATAGTTTGGAAGGAAGATCTGGGTAGTCTACTGGTTTCTGCACTTAATTCATGTTTCAGAGGCCTCGGCCTATACCGACGAACTGTGTCATGCTGAACGAACGTAGACAGTCTCTAAATTTGACTCTTAAAGTGATATGCATTAAATTTCCCCCTATAGAATCTTCCCTGAATTAAACATCAAGGTCATGTGGATAAAAGAAACTACAGTGAACTCACGATACTCACGACTGTTCCACAAATCCTCTTTAGGAGATGTATAGAGTATCGCATGGAGAGCTTGCATACTAAAAACCAACATTCCAAATTCCAATTCGATCTGGAACAGTGGACAAGAATAGCCACCCAGTGAATGTCCATTGTTAAATCATTTATTTATTCATTTATTTATTTATTTACTAATGTTAGGGTGTTAATGCATAATAAGATGGCTTTTCAAGTTGTTAGTAACACATTTTCCACAGGATGCAGAAGCAGTATAAATTATTTAAATAAGGTGTCGATTAATTCGAAACCTCAACATCCCCCCCCCCCCGTGCATTTGAACTTTTAGAATGTTGGGTAGTTCACATCTCCCTCCCCCTCCCTCCCCCCTCAGCCAAAATTGCGTTCAAATGCCCCACTTAACGATTCTTAGCATAATCAACGAATGTTGTAGAATTTAGCAAAGTCACGTATTAGTTCTTGGTGCTGTTGGGTTTTTTGCTGATAAGAATCATTGCACGATGTGAAAATTTTCTTTCTGCCCATGAAGCGGACCCTTTACCTTAAAACTCCTCCATATAAACACGAGTATGGCGCTGGAAAGACTTGACACTTCTGGTTCAAATTCCCCACCTTACTCAGGCAAGGCTCAAATTTCCCGTCCCAGTCCCAGTCCGGGCACGGACGACAGTCCGGGTAGCTCGTAGGGGGAAAGGAATGTTGAAGGTTCGAATTCATCGGCGGATAAATTTGGCGAGAAACCTTGGCCCACTATTTAAAAGTAATGAAATAACAGGATAACGTATCGCTTGGCTGTTTGTTTGCTGTATTTAACAAATTTTGACGACAATTTTCAACAATGTTCAAAACTAATGGATGGCAATAAACTCTGTTACCTTGAATTTTTTCATCGCCCTCTTAGTTTTGATTTTTGTGCCCTTTGCTTCGGCATTGGCAAAAATTGTTTCGAGGTTGCGTTCTTTCAACCTTGCGAACTGAGATCCAGATTTCTTTTCTGAAGACTTTTCCCTATCTGTTTCTTCCGCCTCGACAAGTTCTTCTTCGAAAAATCTCTCCCAGTATGCTGATCTTAAAATTCAGAAATTCGTTATTGTCTATATTTCAGAAATTTGCCGTTGTGATGATTGCTGAGCGTTGCGTTTTATTACGTCATTTTATCCTCTATAACCCTATTGACAAATAGTTCTCAACCAATGAGCGCGCGAGAATTTCTACATTCAAAGTAAAAGAACTGTTTCAATTGTAATTGAAACTGCGAATTAAACATCTGAGTGATAAAATTGGGTATTATCAATCTTAGTCGCATACCTCGTCGCTATCTTCAGAAGTCTTAAAATATTATCACCTTTGAACTAGAAAAGTCACTTCATAACTAGTACGTTTATGTCATTTTTGTTTCCTTTCCTTGGTTAGTGGTAACACAGAGAAAAAGGAGTGAAAAGAAACCGAAAAGAATTATTTACTCGCACAAGCAGATAAGTTACAATACTACTACAAGCATTTCCTTTGCCTTGTTGTCAAGACTCTGTAGCAAAATAATTATGTATCATTTTTACAAGCACCCAGTTGTATGCTGACGAGCTGGTTATTTGTTCAAAAGGGGGTGAACACTAAAGTAAGTTAGAAGTTTTCATTTAGTGATGTTGGACCTCCATAAGATATTTTTTTCCAGAGTAATCTCTTCAACGTCACAGCATCTGTCATCTGTCCTGGTGAGAAGGATCGACGAGGACACGGCCCTCCTGATCATAAACCCGCATCCGTCCCGATGAATAACGGGTCTCTGTGCGACCATCGGGATACACCGTCTTGACTGTACCATCGGGGAATTCTCTTTTATACGCAAAATCGGAAAGAAAAAATCTAAGTTATCAATATTGTGCTTACAGAAATTTGAAGTTCTCATCACAAGGAAAACTTAAGGATGCATTAAAACGATTTCGTCATTGTAGCGGAACTGTGGGAGTGAGACGCAAGAAATGTAGCATCAGTTTTTTTTACTAATTTTTTTTGTTCGACTTGCGCAACGGATTTCGCCGAGGGAGAGGCAGCTCTTAGTTTTGGGTGAAATGATCAGAAAATGGAAACCTGGAACAGATAGTCGCCGAAGAGCAGGAGATAAAAACGTTATTTGGACTTGTTTTCAGCCCAGTTACGGAAGATCTAAGTAGAACAGTTTTCATTTGAGTATCGAAAGTGATCCAAGATTGCACGGGTCTTTTTCTTTATAACACTCTTTGTGACTGGTCCAGAAAACCTGTACCACTCTTGGCCTTTCAACCAATCAGATGCAAAGTTAAAACCAATTGTGACTTGGCCGCTCGAGTTTTCACGCCCTTTAGGCTTTAAGAAACCTCAGAGGGACAACGTGTTAACTGTATTCAAAACTGGGAAACTGCTAGACCCCCTGCCCTTCTGGATAAGTGGCATGTGTTAACGTTATTTGAACATCAGAATGATAGCACATATAATAAAAGAAATAGAAAATGCAAGGTAAATCAATTTCCATCACTAAGGTTACCAAAAATAACATCAAGAAACTTTCTGATTCTCGTCAAAGCCACCACATAGTTGCCTTTCTCTTGAGGGCTGGGGCTCGTCGGAGAGCAAAATCGCCATTTTGTAGAAAATAAATTAACGCAAAACGAACGTTCCTTGGCCCGTGAGAAAGTTTGAGGATTTGTGCAATGCGGAACTAGTGAGAAGTCTAGCACAAATGACTAGTGCTAGACCTCCCCAAGTAGACCTTCCGCTTTGTTTCAAGCCTTAAACTTTTCCCTCGGGCGAAAAATGCTCTAACGGCAGCAACAATAATGGGGCCCTCCACCTAAGCCATTATGTAAGACTTATTACATCCGCCTTACCACTCGTTGGTCCGGCATAATTTGCTTAATATCTCCGTTTAAGAAAGTGAAGGTGATTGTTTGGCCATCGACACTTATGTCTTTTTTTTTCCCGTTTGCGAAGGAGATCACAGAAGAGCCGTCGCTATTAACTTTCTCCAATTGAAAATATGTTTGTTGTAATGTAACTTATGGCAGCTCTCTAGAAAAATGGTAGTCTAAGATTGTTGGACTTCAGCTCGAGAAGTCTGGATCCGAGCCCTCTTGTGTTGTGAGAAAAGAGGCTTGAATTCAATTGAACTTTTCTCCAACAGAAGTTCTGATGGGAACAGTACTCGCGAACTACATAGAAACATTATCAATGTTTGAGGGTGGAGGGGAGGGAGAGTAGTTTGTGATGGACTGGCATCCCACTCAGGAGAAGTAACAACGCTCATTGTCGCTTCATACTATGGAAACTGAGATATGGTCCTATGAAATATGTCGTGCCAGAATCATTCAATGGAATTTTGCATTTTTCTGCCATGATATTGACGAGGAGTCGCTGCAGGCGCAAAATACTCTAAGCTGGAATCATTGCAAACGCCTTCTGACCAGATTTCAAAAAAACCTTAAGGAAGTTCAATAGCCTACGAAAAGGCCGATCTTTAATCATTGATCACGTTAGATTTTAGCAGGAGCTCGTTCCAATAAGCGTCACATGTGTTGATCGAGAAACGTGACATCTCCCTACTAATACAACAACAGAGAGAGAAGCGGCATACCTACACACATCCACTTTATTTCAGCACCACGATAATTAAAGCTATTGCTTAATCATGGGGCCGTGCATCTAAGTCTAAAGTACAATTAAACATAACAAAATGATATGTTTACAATAATTTACGGTTGTAATACCCTTAAGACTATGTGTTAAAAGTCCTAAAAAGATATAAAATCGTTATTACTGAGGTTGACAGTTGGGGGAGATGTCGCTTTGAAATGGAAATCTCTTAGTACTTGTATTTTAGTCAGTCTGGAGTCTAAAGACCAACGTTCAGCGTGAGTTATGTTCGGATGCCTGGATGCAATTACACTCCAGAGGATGGCGCCCCTGTAAATGACAGACTGCTCTAGATAACGAGATTGAAACGAAGGAATAGCAATATTTTCTAATCTTGTTAACGAGTACTCGGTGTTTCTCTTTATAACAATGTTGTCACTTGGTACAGGTAGTCTATCGTTTTAAGCATGCGTCAGCTTGAACAGTTTGATCCTATAAATGTAAGCCAGGGAGCGCTATTTGTGCATCTTGGTAAGAAGTATCATTTCCATCCCTTCGCAGCTCGGTCATGGAATTTATCGATTAACCTAAATAGCTCAGAGTTGCTGCAGTTTGTTCATGTCACAAGGCCGTAGGTGATTGAGGGCAAGGTAACACTGAAGTAGAATTGTTCCAAAACGCTCTTAGGTAGGAACTTCTATTTTCTGTATAGATTGAGTTTACTAGCGAAGCTCTTTTTCACTTAAGATAGGTGAGGTGACCATGTTCGCCCCTCGTCCACTGTTACACCGAGTAACCTCGATTTGCTTACCAGCTTTACAAGGCAACCTCCGATTGTAACAAGGTGGCGTTGGCCCCAGAGTAGTGGTTTTAGATAATAGCATAACCTTGCTCTTTTTGGNAAGAGAGTATAAAAATAAGTTGCTGACAGAGATTAAATATCTTTAAGTTAACTTTTCAAGTGCTCCGCGCCTGAGCAAAACTGGCTTAACAAGTTACGCACTTACACGTTTGTAAAACGCTTGGAACTTTTTTTTTATTATTTGACATTTGGTTTACCAAAAACGTTACACGCCACAGTGTACACTGTTGAGTTATGATCATAACAACGAAAGAACTATAAGATAAGAGTCGCTTGAGGCGATAGCCGCGAGTGACTTAGATTCTTAAGAACTTTGCAGATATCCCATATGCATCCATAACTCGATAGCGTAGATTTTAACACCGGTTTTTCCTGAGAACGCAGCTTTTTCAGTTTAACGTGTGTGGTTCATACGCATTCCTTGACACAAAATTTAAAGGAACGGACAATTGGAATGATATGGGACGAATCGTGGAGTTCCAATATTTCAGTATCACAGAGGATCTGTATTTTATAGGTAGCTAATCACTTTCGCAAGGAAATCGAAGTAAAATATAAAAACTCGTGAATTAACAGCATTATCATTTTTCGACCTTGAACGTTTGCACCATATTGCGACACATCAGTGCGCCTGCTAAGATTGAAGGCAATCGTCAGCGGCCACCCTTGCGCAAATAGTGGACGCTAGATTGACTAATGGGGGTGCTTTAATTGAGCTGTGTTAGTAAGTAGTTAATCCTCATTTCAATGATAAAACATGAAACTTTAGGCAGTGAAGATTATACCCTTATCTTGGAAGTACTTTTTGTTCCTTTGTTTTTGCTTTTGGGTTTTGGTGTTTTTTCGTTAATTTCGTTTGAAATTAGCGGATGACGTCTCATTTGAATACCCATATCTCTTAATGATGGAGGTAAACTCATGTCATTGAGTAGAAAACAATTAGGTACTCTACAAGAACAAATGTAGTTGAACTATCCCCAGTTGATAATACCGTTTTTCAGTATTGAAATCAGATTAAAGAGTTATTGTGTAGTGTAAGGTTATCTCGCAGCTTGAACCGAGCACCAAGAAATCTAAAACTAAGCGATCAATATTTACCACTAATCTATCGCTAAGTAAGAAACTGCAAAAGTCAGCGTAAAGTAGGGTAGCTTACATGCCGTCAGTTTGGCAAATGTTTGATTCCTCTTTTAACATTTCATTTGCAACCATGCACGCTCTTTGAAATGGACGATACCACAGATACTCTAGTCAATGCCTGTTCTACATGTCCAAAGCGTCCTCTGATCATTAAAATGAAATGAGGCCTAGATAAAGCGATTAACAGACTCACCCTTAGGTAAGGGACAGGATCAGCAATGGCGAAAGAAAGTCACCTAAAATGAGGAAGGTTGGCGGATCCACGTGGTAGTGTGTAAAAGATGGTATAAAAAAAAAGGTTTCCGAAACTATGCAGCCTGGAAACTATAATATCATACTACACTGAGGTCGCTTAAAATCACAATGTTTTTCTTCCATTTAAGGATTGCCCATCTATTCTTGTTGAAATCAGCGAGCTTTATTTGGTTTTAGCCAGCTTGACATTTCCTTTTCTGTTATAACGCGATGTCCTAAGCGCCCGGGAAAGAAGGAACAGAATTTAAGGGACGATATAGATGAGGACCGTGAGAGGAATATAATACATCAATCTATTGAATACATAATCTTCATGAAAGAACTAACAATTTCTACATTTTTTAAGGTTCTCACCGGTGTTCAAAAGTATTGGTGATAATTAATTTTGACACCTACTGTCGGCTTAATAAAGTGTATATACTCGTATGGTTTAACTGTGGGTTGTAGTAAATTTTTAATTGATCAACTTAGTTGATCCCAGCACTATAAAATTGAATCCACCATGTTAAAATGAATGTTTCAGTAAGCATACAGCGTGGTGATTGTTTGTACCAAATTTTATTTAATTTCGACGCTTTTAAATGGGAATCTCCCTTTGAGAAAAATCTAGCGAAAGTGGCACTCCTGTAACCCGCATTACAGTCAAGGGTGTATGTTGGTTAAATGGTTGCCGAGAGCAACAAAAAAAGGTAAAAAGCTGAAACTTTGCCAGCATAAATAGTTGACATGGGACTACATGCCATAAAAATTTTAGCTCGAAATGTTGAGTGACAAAGTCGTAGTGGACTTGTCAAGTTCAAAACTCCATTTCAAGGGCTTGAATTGAATTCCCAATCCCGACTACGGATGAAAGGGCATGTACATTTACCTGATTTTTTGAAACGTGCATAAAACTGGTTTTAAAATTGTCGAGGTAGTTAAGAGAACCTAGTGGTGTGTATTAGCTATCGAGCTATCGATTAATTGCCGTGGAATATGCCAATTACCCTTTAAAATGCACCCTTACCCCAAAGGGTGCCACAAAGGTTACATTTCGCTTTTGAAAAGTTAATATAAAATAGTAAAATGCGTCAGTTCTTTGAAATTTTAACATAACACGAACGAAACACTGATAGACCCATGCACACTTTAATTACGACTTTTTCAGCATTCCTCAACGAGTCAAAACTTGAGATACAAAAGATTACAAAAGTGGTGCGCTTTACGCCTAGAGAGAGATAGAGAATTCATGTTATTTATCTGAACAAAGAACAAAGCAACAATCGAACGAAGGTAGCGATACGTGTCTTATAATTATAACAGATTCTATGGCACATTGCCTAGCAACTAGGTTTTGTTTACCCCCTCCCCCCCAGGCAATATAAAAACAGGCTGAAACGTAAATAAGAAATCTACTCTAAACAAAAAAAACCAAAATAGCTCTACATGTTGTCGTTCCAATACATAACTACTATGAATATCAAATTTGAACTGACTAAATTTGTACTAAATGCGTGAAGCTATGGGAAGCGCTATTTCAACAACTACGCCGTTCATATATATCACACATTATTCAAACCAGATTCAAACTGGCGTCTGCATAAATCACGAATTAGCAGATAACCTGAAAGCTACATAGGAAGACAATGCTGTTTTCCGTTCTCGTTGAATGATTAATGTATTTCTACAGTTTCAAGTCTGAACTGGTGTAGATATATATATACCTGAGCGTAGTATTTGATTACTACTAAGGCCATGGATTACGGGTTCTCCCTCTGTACGTTTCAGTCGATTATCTCCTTCCAGGGAATGAGGCAAAGGAAGACCATTGCAGTGACTGCTGTTACCATAATCTGAGCAGCAGCACTCAAGTTATCTGTCAAAAAGCGATCAACCGATGGAATGACTGATGCAACAACTATAAGCGACGTCATAGCACAGAGAAGAAGGAATACGCCAATACCTTGCACACATCGTAGAGTCTTCGTTTCCTTAATCTTCAGCATTAGACTTGTACCCACATTAATGGAGAATAGAGAAAGCCTGAGTGAGCCATAACCTACACCGGTGGCCAGTCCAAAATTGAAGACGATTTTGTTGTAGATGACTTGTATGGTTCCATTTCGAATCAAATCTTGAACGGTAGCGCTGCTACAGTTTAGGGGATCCAGTGACTCCCAAGTATATTTCCGTTCGAAGCAGTCTTTGGTGAAGTCGTCTTCATCGCAGTCGTAGCTTACATCCCGCACAAGGAGCTGCCAAAATGTATTCAGTACAGCGCTTAACATCGTAATAAACAGGATCAAAAATCTGGTCCGGACTTTGGATAAGATGGCCTCCTTTTCTGTCAAATTAACTTCCTTAAACAGCCACTGCGTTCCTCTAGGACAACAAGTTTTCTTCTTCTTCATCTTGAAAATATCCGAAAATGCGTTTGTGACGACGCAGCGACTGATACGATCCAGTTGGGGTCTATAGCGTTTCATCATCACAAAGAGGGCCATCATAGGAACATAACAAACGATAACAGGTGGCAATAGGAAAATTATACCGTAGTCGTCTGATTTCATTATTCTTTCTTGAACAGCAAAAGAAATTCACATGCAGAGCGTTCACTAATCGTCACGGAGTGATAAAATGCGCATACACCTATTTCTGAAAACGCTTTACCTTGGCGACGACCTACTTACTCCTATGGGAGACTGGTTTAAGGTGCCATCCTTCTCCTCTTCCCACTCCTGAGAGTAGGCACTTGACCATTTCCCCTGACGGAAACCGTTGGAGTTATGTCACCCTCTAAAGAAATCTTTATACTATCTTCGGTGTTATTATTTCTATCATAAAAAGAGCATTTCAGAAGGAGAAACTCCCAAATTGAACAGGTTTCTTACGGACGAATCTAAATCCAATTGCACGCTCCGTCGTCGACGAAACGTTTTTCAAGGTAAGCTCTGCAATAGTTAATAAAAACCACATGCGGCCCAAGCGTACTGTGTGCGAGTTGGGTCTAAAGTTCAATACCTAACATACAGTGGAACCTCGATTTAACGAACCTCTATATAACGAATTATACTTCAGTTTCAGCCTGGCTTAAGTTACAGTAAAATGTATGTCACAGAACCTCGATATAACGAACCAGTTTCCCCAGTCCCTTGGCACTTCGTTAAATCGAGGTTCTACTGTATTAAGATGGAATTTCAAGAGTGAGCGTGGGCCGTTGAAAAAAGGAAAATTGTAAAAAAAAAATTGCGAAAAAATTAAAAAGGAAAATAAAAGCGTGGAATAAAACGTGTGAAGTCTCCTTACCTTTTTTACGTAGCCGCTTTGTTGCCAACGGTCGCTTTAACACTGTTTTGGCGACTTTTGTAACGCGTGCTGTGTTACCAGTCAACTGTATAAGAGGAAAAATTAAAAAAAAAAAATAAGAAAAAATTTAAAAGGATAATAAAAACGAGGAATATATCTTTTGAAGTCCCTTTACCCGGCCTTTTTATCCGTAGCTGCTCTGTCGTTTACGGTCTTTTTACCGCTTTTTTGGCGACTTTCTCTGTAAAGTGTGCGGTGTTACCAGTCAATAACCGTGTACAGAAAAACACAGGGCTGTAAACGTCAACCGGTCCCGAACACCAACCGTCGCCACTCGGAAGGCCGATAAATTCCACAACAGTTGACCGACCTCCCTCAAATTTGCACCCGCGAGAGCGCTTAGCTATTACCTAACCCGTTGGAGCGGCAAAAGTCTCCAAATTCCGCCGCATCGATCCGAGAGACGCCCCGTTTTCCCATCCATTCTGGCTAAATCGCTTCGTAGGTACGCGTAATCCTTTTGTCCTTACTTAATTGGTGAAGCAACGTTGCAATTCTAAGGCTTCGTCAATACATCACGGCATTTCTTTGAACAAGTACCTGATAACCACAACTCTTTTGCAATCTTATAATGTTGAATTAAACCCTGGTCGTTCTACACTTTGCTCAACCAGAAATGGAACAGTGATGGATGGAAATCTAAATTCTACCGCCGTTGACAGCCCATTGAAGCGTGTAAAAGGCCTTAAAATGGTTCATTTAAATGTCAGAAGTCTCCTGAGAAACATCGATGAACTTCGCCTCTTCGTTTGTTCTAACAGGCCTGACATCGTAACTTGGCTAGATTTCTCGATTTCAAACGAGGAAATTATAATTGAGAATTATAATTTGGAGCGTCATGACAGAATTAGAAAAGGAGGTGGAACAGTAATTTACATACATGAGCGCTTTTCATACAATCGTACTTCATTATACAACAGTGAACTTGACATGTACTCTGAAATGACAACGTTCCCGTCCTCTTTTTATTGGCAGTATTCATCGTCCACCGAGTGACTCCAATTTCTATTCCAATTTCAAGAATCTCCCGGACGAAGTGGACTTAGTGAACTCAGAATTATATCAGAATTTTTTCTCGTTGCCATGTTCCCACCAATCACGTGGCTCCTTTTTCTGCATTTAAAAGCACACACAACCATAGTTAGTAGAGGGGACTGGTTATGAAACCCGGTAAACATCAAAGGGTTAGACAATAGCGCGGTCGGCGATGTTGAACAGTCCCGTCACGTGATTCTGACCGTGCACAAGTTCATTCAAGATGGCGGACGGTATAGACGATCTGTTCGTGTGGTGAGAAGATTTTGAGGCGATCTTCGGTATTTTGGAAGACGATGACGAAGTAGAGGAACAATTTTCCGTCGCAGTTAGAAATGTAAGTTGAAAACGTTGCAATTTCGAGTTGTAATTTTGCACTACTGAGCTTAAATTTGCCACAGATGGGCTACTCGACGCGTGTACAAACGAAATTCAACAAACGCTCGCGTATAAACCATGCTTATATATTGCCGTTTCTTCAAAGGCAATCTTCTTTAGTGATTTGTCGCAAAAGAAATTCACATGCAGAGCGTTCACTAATCGTCACGGAGTGATAAAATGCGCATACACCTATTTCTGAAAACGCTTTACCTTGGCGATGACCTGCGACTTGTTGTTGAAGAATCATCGCATGAAAACTGAAAACTCTTAACCTTGGGATCCTAAAGAAAATTATGAGAAGACAAATCCCAATTTGCGGAAGCATTGTAGCAGTTGTAAACGAACGATGGAGTTAATTTAATATTACCACTAGAGCTGTTTACCCATTCAGGAACAATCTAGGACGTGTGAAAGAACTGAAGTGGAAACTTTTTCCAAACAGAATTTACATAAACTTCAACATCGCCAACATTCAGGGACACAACCCGTTAATCGAAAGTGATGACAATATTTAGGGATGCAACCCTTTGACTCTACTTTAAGTTAGACTTAAATGTTTTTGTTTTCCGCGATGAGCCATCGTCTCGGTATTTGGTTAAGGTATTTGCTTTCTCTTTTCTGTTGTGACTGTTTAAAAAGGGACTAACAACGGACATCGATTCGAAAGCGATAACATATAGCGATCTTTCTTGTTCTGTCAAGAAAGATGCATCTAAATGGTGGTTAGTCTTGTTATATACCTACCTTGAAATTCAAGTTTCTTGGCGGCGTACAATGAGACTGATTAACATAATGATTTATACATTGGAATGCGCAATTACATCATGGAATTCATTCTGAAACTTGCACTCAGTGTTAGGAAGGCGACTGAGTTTGCGCTCTGACCGAGTCCTATTGTTCTTTAGAAGGGGTGAATGTAGCGTAATGTGCCTTAAGAAGGGAAATTTCCCCTTTGAGTTAAGACAATTCATCCTAGCGGTATGACACAATTTGCGCCGGATACTCTGAAATATGACTTTGAGAACAAACAGACAGAATTTCAAAGAAAAAAATTATTTTAAAACCTTTCAATCTTAGCAAGGGTTTAAAAATGAGCCGTTTACAAAGCAAAAATTTAATTTAAAAGTAAAAACCAAACGTTTTCGACATTAGGTCATCATCGGGGTAAATAAGCACCGTCCGCTAAATTAATGTTCCTGATGTTTTGAACGCAGTTTTTCGAGGGTAGGGAAGGTCTTCTTCTTCAGATAAACAGTATCAGTTGAAATTATACATTCTATTGAGTGTGTATGATAATTTCAGCGTGAGAAAATTAGCCAAATTTGAAAGAAATGACCGGTAAACAACTTCGAGTTAAGATAGATTATATCTTTGGCTTAGTCGACGAAGGATTTAAAATAAAGCAAAAAGATTTCGCTCTAATAAGAATCAAGAATGAATTAACTTGTTTATTTTGAGAATCGAGAAAGAGAGCAAGCTGTTTCTGTAGCACAATAAACCCAAGAGGGTCGTTTAAACTTTTTCTTTGTTTTGATTGTCTAGCCCTTCTACCGCTTTCTGCGACATCGTCGCAGACATTGTCCAAAAGTTACAGTCAACCACACAAGCGAGTAAGTCACTGTGTTTTAGAAGCGCAGAGGCGTATTGATAGTTAAGTTTAAAACAGAAGGATAAAGTATTTGAATAAGCTTTGCGTTTGAAAAGTCTCCAGTTTTTCTTTTCCCTTCTTTTAATTCCTTTTGCAGATTTCTATAAATTTTCTTGTACTTATTTGGCAACAGCGGTTGATTCTTGATGTTTTCGTAGAAAATTTTGCGCGGGGAGTTTGTGCGTGGCTAGCTAGATTGATCCACTCGCACATGCCGAACGTTTGACCGCTGGTTTCAATTGTTGTGTAGTTATGCTGTACAGTGAGAATGTTCAGGACCTACCGCCCCAGTTGCGTCTAATCTTAGTTACCACCAGGCCCCACACTCACGACTGCAATTACAAAGAAGAATTGCAATGCAACATTCGACGTCCCATCTAGCCCCAAATAAGTCGATGTCTTTGTCTAAAAGAAACTAAACATCTACTAGCTCCTCACCATCGTTGACTATGCCTTTGTCGACTTTATTGTCCCACAGAGAGAAAGCCAGCATCCCCATACCTGATTCTTTCGTCCTTTTAATTTCTTCAACTTCAGCTTTGTTCACCTCTGATGATTTTAACATTCGACGCCCCTCGAAATATAGTGCCTTATCACCATGGTCTCAGTTCTTTGACTGATATCCTTTCGCTGGCTCTCCAGTATCGCACGGCAGCTGCGCGTATTCAACAAGGTCAAGGAAGATGTCGTCTGCTAAAGTAGAGGGTTTCCTGTTCCCTTCGAAGTTTTCACGATCTTTATGGGCCACAGACCTATCTCGCAATAATACTTGGAACGCTAAAACCATAACGGGTAAAATATTCAATTAACAAATGGTAAACACCACAGCGTACGCTATTGAGTTATGGATGCACGCGGGAGGTTGCTAAGCACGAAAGAAGCGTAAGAGTCGCACGAGGCGATAGCCGAGAGCGACTCTAGCTTCTTGAGTGCTTAGCAAACCTCCCAAGTGCATCCATAACTCAATAGTGTACGCTGTGGTGTTTACCATTTGTTTTATAACATAACATTGATACATTGTAGCTAAAGAGTTCCCTTTTATTTAACAAATCTTACGTGACCAGAAAAAACAAGCGCGCGCGGAAAAATAGTCTTTGCATTTGCTCACGTCAGCAGCGTACACCCATGGGCAAATGGGGGACGCTAAATTGACCAATCAGAGCGCGCGCTTTACTTTGGTTATGTTATAATAAAAAATGAGCTTGTCGCCATGTTGATGAAAGTGAATGGATAGAAAAGTAGCGACAGATTACTTGGTTCTAACTTAATGTTTGATNAAATACAAAACAAGAGGAGGTTATGACAGATACGGGGCTGCAAAACACAACAATCAACGGGAAGGATTGGAGCAGGTGCAACAGCTGAGCCCGAGTGTTCTTGTAGAAATAGTTGACCGTGCTTTCCGCAGTGTTAAGGAAAGGAAAGTTTTTGCAGAAAATTTAAGGAAGGAGCTCAACAATTACTCATACCAACAGCTACAAGAAGACGGCAATGAATTCTCTGCTATAAAAGCAATCTATGAAGAATATACAAGAAATGGAGATGCAGAAAAGTTTTATGGCAAATATTATGCAACAGTTACTGTAAAGTCAACCCGATTCTTCAGTGGACTTTCTAGGAATGCAGCAACACTACTTGCAACCAAAGTTGCTGACTGTTTGCTGGCATACTCTAAGCAACAAAAACACTCTACTGAAAGCAGTCATAATATAAAAACTGGGTTGTCAGTCAATTAAGTCAATTCATCATTGAGGAGATTATATTAATCACATAGCATAAGTGTACATTTTGTATTATAGATACAATTATCTCATGTCAGTTGATGAAGATTTTTTAGTGCACGTTCACATAACAATGACAGAAAGCAATGTTCCTTTCAATTTGTTGTCATTACCAAATTGTAACCATCTACATATTTCATTTGACTTTTCAATGCAGTTACAAGGGTAGGAGTTTGTAGTGACAACAAAAGGACTGTGTCTAAATAAAGTTCCTTTCGTAAAAAAGAATTAACTTGGCCCTTAAAGTTAATTGGTCATCAACTAGTGTAACATAACCGCCAAGATATTGCATCCCAGCTTTCTCCTTAACTACAGTTTCAGTTTTTCTCTACATGGTAACTTAACATCAGTAACTTGTTCCCAGGCTCGTGTCTTGTCCTTTCGGCCCCTTGTATAGCCACTCTGACAGGACACTGTTCTCTGCATTCTTAGTGTGTTGCTGTTATACCCAAATGTTTTTAAATCAGGGTTGTCACTGCGTCTACCCAGTTTCCACTGGCCCCCGAAGTACTCCTCTACTGGATCCTGGCAGAACCGTTCTGTGAGGACAATTTCAAACCCTTCCTGGAGCAAGAATTTTGTCACCTCGACAGCAGAATGTACAGATATGCAGAAGCCCTCATATGTCTGCCATGAGAGAAACATTCGCTTTCTGGTATTCTGGGTGAAGTTACCCGGTCTGTTGTCAACGTTCTCTTTCCAAGTCCTCAGATAGTCTAGGAACTCCATCAACCATGCAAATCTAGCAAATAAAAGAAACGTCTTTAATTACTGTTTCTTGACATGAATAAGGCAATTAGTAAAGTAAAAGATACCTCCACATAATATGTACTCCATTACAAAAATGCACCAAAGCAGCATTTATTGATTTGCTAATTAAACAGAAGCTTTTTAAAGCAAAATAAATATTCTGATAAAAACCCCCATTGTAAAATTAAAAAATAGTATTTTATCATATTTAAATGTAGTTAGGTAGAAGGCCCTTTAATAGGGATAACCTCTGGGCCCTCCTTTTCAGGATTTGTAAATTCTGAATGAAGTATTATATATTTAGAAACCATTAACAATGGATGATTTTATACCCAGGGTTCACATTGTATTTTGCTAAATAATACTTTATAAATTAAACAAAATTTAAAAAAAATCAACAACACACCTTTCGTCATTAACAGAAGTATAAGGAGCCAAGAATGGTTTGCGCTTTCTCTGATGCTCTGCCATGCTTCTCACATCGAGACAATCAAAGAAGCCATCGATCATTTCACAGAGTTTTGCAGTTCCTGCTGTGCCTGGAGGTCCAAACGTCTTCTGAACTGCAGCAACTGATGCACTCAGGACTTTTGCAGCAAGATTCACCCGCATGACAAAATACGGGGTCAGGTTTACATGCTCATATGACAGCCTAGGCAACAGCTTCAAGCCATTGTCTAAATCCTGATAGAAAATCTCTGTGATGTGCTGCCACAATAAATGCTGCCCATTATTCCACATATATCGCGTGCATTTTCCAGATCCAGAGTGCATGA